ACCATCTTGAAGCTCTCATTCCCCTCTACAAAACCCACCCAAGAACCACCTTGATTAACCATGGGATGTGGAGGTTTGAGGCCACGAAAGTTGACGAAAATCAATGGTGCTCCGGCCACCCTTTTCGATTTTCCGGCAAATCGGCAAAGCAATGGCCGATGCCACCACTTGGGCTTTGTAGCCCATCATCCCAGGAGCAAAACCCAACCAACCTTGACCCCGTTGGACCACCGTAGGCGACGAATCGACGTCGGGAAGTTTTAGGCACCCGCCGGCTTCGGGGGCCAAATTGACCATCTTCCGTCCACTTTTGGACTTCGTGGCAGGTATGAAAGTTGCTCCACTCACGGAGATCTTCATTTCTGTGAAGTTTGAGAATTTTTGGAAATAGTTGGATTTTCCGACGAGTCGGGGCGGCCGACCGCCACCCGCGGCGGCGCGTGCGGCGGCGCGTGGCCAGTGGGCCGCCAATGATATTTTTAGGCTATGTCGAATGTCTTGAATTCAGTTTTGTTATTTGAATGACATAGGTTGATCGTTGGAACCTAAATTCGTTACGATACATTGCTTGATGAAAATGTGAATCGACGATCCGACCGTTGGATCGTCACCAAACTTGGGTACATTATAATACGTAATATTTAAAGATCATAGGAATTTATGGATCGGGAATCCGATGTACGGATCTTTCCGAATTGGATTTGTAAGTTAGTAAAATAAATGTTCACGGCCACTTGTTTTAGGCAATTGGCGGAGATTTGACCGTTGGATCGTAATGAAATTTTAATATGTTATTCTAGAAACATATTGTGGATCGTTGGAAGTTGCAGATTGGAAATCTAATATGCGGATCTTCCGGGTTAGGTTATACAAGGTTGTACACCCTACCGTTGATCTTTGATCGACGGTTGACTTGTGGTCAATGGGTCTCAAACTATTTTAGAATGTCATTGAGGTTGTGTTTTATGTGAATTACATATTCTACGGATAAGAGTTCTGAGATGTGATTTGATAATTGGTCACAGGGACCAATCATTCAGGACGCCTCGATGCGTGCGCTAGAGAATCATAGCGTGGACTCCAGGTGAGTGCATCTTTTCCTTTTTATCGTACATATTATTGGGAGTTCTATCGACACCTTTAAATTGATTAGGCATATTACTTTCATATATAATTATTGTGAATGCTTGAAGTACTATGTGAACTACGAATGGCTTGATCCCTGTTTAGGGTACGTAGGCAGTCTAACGAGACGTTAGATGCAGCCATAAAATATTTGAGACAAAAGCCTTGCTTGGGAAATTGAGTAATGCGAAGGAAATTGGTTAAGGCAAGTTTTAGTTTTATGAATTAGTTAGTTAAATTAGTGTTAATTGGGTTGTCATGAATAATTATCCTTGAAAATAAGTAGTTTGGGAGTAGGGCGTTATTGATTGTACACTTCACACTATATTGTTTATAATTGAAAATGCTACGACATGGTTGAGTAGTAGATTGCATCATGATATATCCATATGTATATTACTTGCATATAATTATTGGGAATGCTTTCAAGTGCAAAGGTGAACTCAGGACACCCAGGTAAGTTCAGGTGAGTTTATGGTACTAGTTGAATCGATTGCGTTATAACATGACTACAGTTATGAGTTAGGCAACTTCGATACGGTCGTACTGGTTGCCATGAGTTGCACATGTTATATTGAGATGTATTGAGAGCTCATAAACCTGCACCTCGGTGTTAGTGCTCCCGCCCGTGGCCAGGGCACAGTCCTTCACGTGATGTTCACCTCCCGCACCTTACGCTCACCTTGGATCCAAGGTAGGTGCACAGTCCTGTCGTACAGACCACTTTAGGTGGTTCCGACTCGTTGGTGACCCGCGATTATTCGCACAGCCTTCACGTGATCGTAGCACTAGAGCGTTTATATGTATTACACCCAGGCCTGTCGTACAGACCACTTTAGGTGGTTCCGACTCGTGTGCAGGTATACTTATTGAGCTATTGGCTAGCCAGGATTGACGAGATATGGATAAGTCGTACAGGTCACTATAGGTGACTCCGACTTATATGCTAGCCTAGCCAGGATTGACGAGATATGGATAAGTCGTACAGGTCACTATAGGTGACTCCAACTTATATGCTAGCCAGGATTGACGAGATATGGATAAGTCGTACAGATCACTATAGGTGACTCCGACTTATATGCTAGCCATGATTGATGAGATACGGATAAGTTGTACATGTCATTTTAGTTGACTCTGACTGATATATCACTTTGTATTGATTTAGTTCATTTGGCCTACTTATTAATGTATGGTGGATGTGATGGCAAACCGTGGTTTTGGTCATTTCCAAGTATGGTTTGGATATATGTATATATGTTGTACTGTCTTATGGAAAACGATACGGGTTTTACATTTAGGGGCATTACTTTTTGAGAGGTAGTAACTTTGGGAAGCTTGGTTTTATTGCTTACTCACACCTTCTGTTTGGTGCCCTCCAGGTTTTAGCTGCTGAGTTTGTATCGACAAGAATCTATGGCGAATCTTAGTATTGATGGATATTTTTGAGGGTATGATTCTTACCCACATTACTGCACCTTACTTATGCTCTGACATCGCGTGTGAAATGGGTTCGCTCCCACTCGTAGCGCACTCTGGTACTTAGACACTTTTAGTTTCAAATTTATTCACTTTTTATGCACTATCACATTTTATGGCTTCGTCACCTTCTAGGTGTCGGCCAGCACAGCTCGATTCAGGGTCCAAGTGGACTTTATGGGTCGGGGTGTGTCAATAGTACTATACCATATAAAAATATATTACCTCCTTTTTCCAAATAGCCAATCTCGTGTGCACAATAAAGCTTGAATTGTTTCTGGTAACAATGAATTACGATACTGATCTAGTACTCTACCCCCAATACTAAATGTTAACACATCTCGTGCTAACTGAGAAAGAACGTCTATGTCTACTTTTCTATCTATTCTTTTGTCCTCCAAATACTTCTGCAATTCATTTTTTTCAATCGAACTTGAACCATCGTAATTATTATCAAAATCCTACATCATAAAAAATTAAAACGAAAACGTAATAAGAATCATGCATCATGTCAATATCAAATATAATACCAACAATTTTTATAGTACTACTACTACAAATATATAAAGTAAATAAAAACAAACTTAGGTTACCTCAAAGAGAACATCTCCAGATTCTGTTTGATGATTAGGCACTGAATTCACTGGAGTATTTGAATTATCAAGATGCAAAAGTTTTTCCAAGTACACACCAAAAAGAACATTCAATTTGTCATTAACCTTTGTAAATTCGACCGAATTCACACCATGAAGCTTTGTGTAAGCCCAATCCACAAAATGCAATTTATAACGAGGGTCTAAGATGGTTGCAATTGCCAAAATCAAACTGTACTCTGACCAATACTTCTCAAACTTCGTGTACATGTAAGTCCCCATCTTATTCATGAAACTTTCAGAGTCATCTATGACTGCCTTAATTTGAAGTTGGATTACGAATACCTTAGGGAAGAAATTTGATGTGGGGTACTTTGTCCCAGAGAATAAGCACGTAACCTCATAAAAGGACTCCAAAAACTTGGAAATCTTCATTATTTTATCCCACTCTTCAAAAGAAGGACAACTACTAAAATTGGAATCACTCAACCCTAAATGAATCAAAGCATATCGATAGAAAATTGCACTATCTAGCATAATATATGTTGAGTTCCATCTAGTAGGGACATCTTGTCTCAAACCTCTCCTACTATCCAATATCCCTACTTGTCTAACACATTCATAAAACTTTAGTTTCCTAGCCTCAAAGCCCAGATACTTGATATATTCACGAATCTTTATCACTGAAGAATCAAATTATTTAAGTCCATCTTGGACTATCAAATTCAAAACATGAGCACAGCAACACACATGAAAGAAGTCACTATTCATCACGAGAAGAGAATGATAGCCTCCAACCTAGTGCACAATGGATGGCTGAGATTAAATCTTAGCCGATCCAATGGTCACCAATTTTTTAAAATTTAATTTAATATATTAATATATAATTATTATAGTTTTTAGGGGTATAAAATTGTTTAATTAATATATATAATTATTATAGTATTTTTTTTTAGCGTTATAAAATTATAAAATTAATATTTTGCTTATTGTGTATCGTGTTACCCACGTGTACACCCGAACCAATCTGTTATCTTAACAAGTGCTTATCGGGTTACCCGATAACGACCCGATTCGTTATCGTGTCAACCCGAATACCTGTTAATTTCGTGTCGTGTCGTGTCAGGAATTGCTAGGCCTGCCTACAGTGGCGGAGAGTTGACTAGTGTCATTCCAGAGGATAGTTGTTGTTGTGATCGTCAAGACGCTCATTGGGAAAGTCAAACCCAACTGGGTTTGTGTGTTCTTCAATTTTGGATTTGAATCGGAACACGGAGATTGAAAAGGGTATGTAAGAAGTAAAGGCTTTAAGGATAGCACTACCCTTTTCTAAAAGGAAAATTTCTTTAAATAGAAATACACCCGGACAAAAAAAAAATGCTATCTTTCTGATAGGAAACAGTGATTTTCCAAAATAGGCCCGTGGAAAAAACTACCATTTTGTCCCTGACATTCCGTCTCTTTGTAAAATCTTCGTTTAGTTCTCAATGGAAAAGAGAGAGTATAAATTGAGCTCAAATGTCCACGTAAAATCTTCGTTTAGCTCTCGATGGAAAAGAGAATATAAATTGAGCTCAAATGTCCACATAGAATTTCCACTTAGACCAACAAAGACATTTTTGTTAATTTACAATTTCTGAAAAGTAAAATACACAAAACCAATGTCTTAAACATCTTCCCAAATTCGCGCTTTGGATAAGAAAACCATTGAGAGTGTAACCCATTGAAAAAAGGAGCATGCACACAGAATTATCCTCGGGAAAGTAAAGACCCCAGGCAAGGTGACCCATGGCGAACATGGCCCAGTTCGATAAAAGGCATTCAAATACTAACACTCATAATACTACATTGCTACTGGTGCCAACAGGCTTATATCTCATTCCAACATTCACAAGAAAACATAATAGTGTCTAATAAAAGGCACAACATATGTCGATTACGATTGTACATTCCTGTTCCTGTAACTAGTCAGGGACGCCTCGTCCTTTTCAGTCGACAAGCTTCCTAATCTGCGAGCCAATAATTCCTTTCTCTGCATCACAATACAAAACCAAAACCTCAAAGAAAATACGTCGTCACTTTAATGAAAGTAATTAAGAATGATTCTGGGCTGCTCAAACTATACAGATATAATAAACCGTAAAATATTCAACGAACAGTAACATTCCTAAAATAAAACTAATCAACCTAACAAGTACAAAGTATAGAAAGACTCAGCAACCATGTCCACACTGCTCCGCGTGGGATCACATCACATGTTTATTGGTATTATTCACTGTTTCCAACAGTTTGCTATGTTCAAGAGATCCATGTACAGACTACAAGAATGCCAGATATACATACATGACCCCTGGCACAAACAAACAAACAGACATGCACGTCAAATACAGGTAACCCGTACGCTAGCTCCTTGCAAATCGATTGCAGTAGGGTTAAGCTGTGAATGGAGGTATAAAGGAAATGCATGCAACTACAACTGCGTATATATGTACATAACTAAATATCAACGTATCATGCGCTAAAAAAGGTGACCTGACATCAACGATGAGCGACAACTACTGGGAACCACGTGCTTTACTGTTTCCTTGTGCACTACAGACTGCTTCTCTGAAATGACTTTTCCAGGACGGTGGCCCTTGGAGGCTTCATTCCGTGCTATCGCTTTTGCACACGGCTGATAATTTGGTTCATTTGATTTGTTGTCTTTGAAAATTAATTTCTTATTCGAAACTGCCATGGTTACAACCCTCTCAAGGTACTCAGACGACCCTGCAATTCAGAAACAATATAAGTCTAAGATATAAAAGATCATCTATACCGATGGAGGTTAGAAATGAAATTCAGTCAACATGACAGTAATTACGAGTTACAAAATCAATAACACAGGGAAACCAATAATGCCTACAAAACTAAATGAGCAAAGGTGGAAAGAACATAATAGAATACCATATTGAAAACTTACACTGACTGATGAATACCACAAAATCAACTCCGCAACAATGCACACTTGAATTTTTTATCTTCGTTAATTACTTGGTATGTGTTATCTGCAACTAAACTGAATTCTTTTTTAATAGCATTTCTCTGGTACCTGAATCAGTTTGTATTCAAAGATTACTCCAAAACTAAATAAAACACAACTACCATGTAGGGAAGTTGCATCTGTTCTCTTGCGATGAATGCATCTAAGAAACCTAATCACCTGTGTTTTTTAATAAAATCATGCAATGCAGAATAGTTGGGAATTTCAAAACTGCAAAAATATGAATAATTCAAGTAGATGGTTCCCGAGTGCATATTACAGAACAAAGAAAAGGCCTAAATACTTACCCAAGATTCAGCTAATTAGAGCAATAAAAAATAAATTCCTTCAAAGTTTTCATCCATTTTTAAACTCAGTTACACACATATAAAGTTTCATCCATTTTTACACTCAGTTACACACACATGCACATGTCTTGCAAAAGGTGTTCTTTCCCAATTCATTTTCAAAATTCAATTTCAAAATTCAATAATAAAAGCGAGAGATTGAGATTGCTAGCAATTTTTTATATTGTTAATTAAACAGCTGTAACACGCATGCAAAGACACATATATAATAGTGACAAGATCCCATCCATGTGTACTGGAGTTTAAACTATGCCTAGTTGGTGGTTAATGTTAGTGTTTTGTATGAATGGCAGAAGAAGAAAAGAAGGCATTGAGAATGTAAAATGATTGCTATCCTCTCTGCAAGTCACAGAGGAAGCTTTCTTCTTTTCTGTAAAAGTATATTTTTCTCTCTGCACTCACAATCGTGCAAAAGGAATAATTCTGTTAACAATGCTTAGCTGGATCTTTTCCTTCTAGATAAAACGATCACAGCCACTCATCTAGCAATAGCTAGGATCATCACACATGGCACTCATGGCCTTACATATTTAGATCTTACACTTGGCAATTTCTAAGCACAAGTGAATACACAATTAAAAACAGGATTATTCTCAAATACTAATCAGCTCATGGCTTATAGTTCAACACTCCCCTTTAAGCTTTGAGCTGATTTGACTCCAAGCAAACCTCTGAGATAGCTGAATCGATCCTTTGCCAGTGGTTTTGTGAAGATATCGGCTAACTGCTCTTTTGTAGGACAGTAAACTAGATCAATGATTCCTTCTTGCAGAGCATCTTTGATAAAATGATATCTTCGATCAATATGTTTAGTCTTCTGGTGAAACACTGGATTCTTTGTGATAGCAATTGCAGATGTGTTGTCACACTGTAATGGAGTGGCTTCAGTTTGAAGTTCCCCAAAGTCTTCCAGTACGAACCTCAGCTGGATTGCTTGTGCAGTTGCCTCTGAAGCACTGATGTATTCTGCCTCAGCAGTTGAAAGTGCTACACATGTTTGTTTAACTGATGCCCAAGAGAAAATCCCACTGCCAAAAGAGAAGGCATATCCTGAAGTGCTCTTGCTATCATCCACTGATCCTCCCCAGTCACTGTCACAGAAGCCAATCACCATAGAGTTTGTACCTTTCACATACTCCAGACCATAGTCTAATGTGCCCTTAATGTATCTGAGCACCCTTTTGGCAGTTCCATAGTGTTTGTTTGTGGGAGAATGCATAAACCTGGCAAGTAAACTTGCTGCATACATTATGTCAGGTCTTGTAGCTGTAAGATACAGTAAGCTCCCCACAATCTTTCTGTACTGTTCTTCATTTGCTGGACCACTTCCATCATTCTTACTGAGTTTTTCAGCTGAAATCAGTGGTGTAGACACAGGCTTGCATTCATTCAACCCAAATTTATTCAACAAAGAAGAGGCATACTTCTTTTGATGAATAAAAATGCTGGAATTAGTTTGAATGACACCCATTCCCAGAAAATGATGGAGTAGACCCAGATCAGTCATCTCATATTTCATCATCATATCCTCTTTGAATTCGTCCAACATTTCATTGCTGCTACCTGTGTAGACAATATCATCTACATAGATAGACACAATTATAATATCCTTTTCTCCCCTTGACTTGATATATAGTGTTGGTTCACTAAGACTTCTTTGAAAACCACACTGGGAGAAATATGCATCAATTTCTCCATACCAGGCTCGAGGTGCCTGTTTCAGTCCATAGAGAGCTTTATGAAGCCTATACACTTTATCTTCCTTGCCTTGCACTGTGAATCCTTCTGGTTGGTCTACATATACTTCTTCCTGCAGTACACCATTCAGGAAAGCCGATTTAACATCGAGTTGGTACAATCTCCAGCTCTTTTGGGCAGCTAATGCAATGAGAGTTCTGATAGTGTCCAGTCTAGCCACTGGAGCATAGGTTTCGTTATAGTCAAAACCAGGTTTCTGAGCATAACCTTTGGCAACCAACCTTGCCTTATTTTTCAAGACTGTGCCATCCAGATTCAATTTAGTTTTATAGACCCATTTAACCCCAATGACAGGCTGCATTGTTGGTCTATCTACTAATTCCCATGTACCATTCTTCTCAATCATAGTCAACTCATCCTGCATTGCTTTTAACCATGATTCATCTTGAGCTGCATCTGCATATCTTTCAGGCTCCATAACAAACAGATTACATTGAGCAAAAATATCATCAAGATTTCTCCATTTCAGAGGTGTGTGGTCATAAGTTTCTGACAGCTTTCCAATTTCAGGAGTGCAACTTACTTGTTCTTGTGTATGAGAAGAAGAACTAGAACTGTGAGAACTTCCTTCAATCACACTCATCTCATATGAATTCACACCAACTACATTCTCAGGTTGATCCTGAATGTAAGTTGCAGCAGCTGAACTTTGTGAACTTTCTTTCCAATTCCAGGTCATAGATTCATCAAAAACCACATCTCTTGACAAGATTAACTTGTTAGTACATGGATCAAATATTCTATATCCCTTCTCACATGTAGCATAACCCACAAATACGCCTTTAACACTTTTAGCATCTAGCTTCTGTCTTGTCTCAGTAGGTATATGAACATAGCACAGGGAACTAAAAATCTTGAGATGTGCAAGACCTGGTTTTCTGCCACTATAGGCTTCAAAAGGAGTTGTATTTCCAAGTGCCTTCGTAGGACACCTATTTAGAATATATACAGCTGTGTGTACAGCTTCAGCCCAAAGAACATATGGCATACCTCTATCATGAAGCATAGTCTTTGCCATTTCAACCACAGTTCGATTTTTTCTCTCCACCACTCCATTCTGTTGAGGAGTATAAGCCATGGTGAGTTGCCTTTGAATGCCTTCAGTTTCACAGAATTTAGTAAACTCAGAAGATAGGAATTCCCCACCCCTGTCACTCCTTAGACTTTTAATTTTGAAACCACTTTGCAGCTCCACCATTGACTTGAATTTTTTGAAATAATTGAATGCATCAGATTTGTATCTGAGAAAGTACACCCAGATCATCCTTGTACAATCATCAATGAATAGCATGAAATATTTGTTTCCAGCCAGGGATGGATTCTGCATAGGACCACACAGATCAACATGGATAAGTTCCAGGGGACAGTTTGCCCTCCAGGATTGTTTCTTTGGAAACCAGTCTCTATGTTGCTTTCCAAACTGACATCCTTGACATACATCTTTGATTTCTTCTAGATATGGAAGACCATGCACCATATTTTTCTCACTGAGTTGTTGCAACCCTCTGAAGTTCAAATGACCTAGTCTTCTGTGCCAAGTCCGAGTAGAGTGTTCTATGCTTGCTTTCAGAACCAACTGATTGTCAGGCAACAGGGAAAGAGGATAGCAACGATTTTCTTTCTTCTTGACCTTGATGACAAGATTGTCAAGTGAAGGTCCATCAAATACACTACACAAACCTCCTCTAAACACTAGATAGTATCCATGCTCATCCATTTGACCTACACTCAACAAATTCTCCTTCAATCCTGGCAAGTGCATAACCTCTCTGATGTACTTCTTCCCTTTGTTAGTATCAATTTCCAATGAACCCATTCCAGCAACATCTACTAACACCCCAGTAGGCATTTGCACCTTTCCAGCAACATTTGTTCTTATATCGACAAGGAGATCAGCATTCCCTGTCATGTGGTTACTACAACCACTGTCAATGTACCAATTTCCATTGACATTTTTCTCTGAGATTGCACTATTAGCATAAAACAGATTCCCTGTCACTTCCACCTGATTTGCAGAATTTGCCTTTTGTACACTCTTCCCTACAGTGCATTCTCTAGCCCAATGACCAAACCTATCACAATTATAACACTTAGGCTTCCCCTTATATCGACATTCACCAAAATGATACTTAGAACACACTCTACACAGTGGTTTGACAGTCTCTTGACTCATTGACTGTGACTGATATGAATTTGGTGCAGGACTAGTGAAAGGTTTCTGTTGGAATCGAGATTTCGAATCCCATTTCTTTCCCTTAGCATTCCAATTCTTTTGGAATTTTGATGAGCCAGATTGGACTCCACTTCTATTTTGCCCCTTTGGACTCACTGAGAATGATGCAAAAGCCTTCTCAGTGGTATCAACATTATGCAAGTCAAATCGTTGCTCTTGACTCTTCAGAATGGCAACCACTTCTTGCAGCTCAACAGACTCTAGACACTTGGTGTTTTCTATAACTAAACAGATGGAATCATAAGGTTTACTTAGACTAATCAGAACCTTCTGCACAAGTCTCTCATTAGAAAGAGATTCACCAAATGTTCTCATCTGATTAATTAAATCATTCAATCTTGTAAGATAACTAGATAGGGATTCATCATCTCGCATTCTAGCATACTCAAATTCTCTTCTAAGATTCTGAAGTTTTACAGATCTAACCTGATCACCTCCATGATATTCTCCATACAGTAGATCCCATGCCATCTTGGCTGAGTCTGCGTTTGCAATCCGAGGAAAAATCTGATCAGAGACTGCGTTTTGTATGATTCCCAGAGCCTTTGCATCTCTCATTAGCACGGTCATCATTTCATCATCGCGATCGACTTCCGATGACCCTTCAGCTTCCTTCTTCTTCGTCTTCGAGTCAGGTGTTGACACTCCCTTTTCTACCAGGTTCCATAACCCGAGAGATTTGAAGATTGTAACCATTTTGATTCTCCAGAACTCGTAGTTCTCACCGGAGAAGATTGGAGTCCTCACTTCCGAGCCTCCAGATCCAGACATGATTTTGATCTGAATCGACAACCTTCACAGAATTTCAGGGGAGCTCCGATTGAGCTCGATAGCTTCACAGATTTACGCCCAGATTGTTAAATCGAACTAGGCTCTGAGGCCATGTTAGTGTTTTGTATGAATGGCAGAAGAAGAAAAGAAGGCACTGAGAATGTAAAATGATTGCTATCCTCTCTGCAATTCACAGAGGAAGCTTTCTTCTTTTCTGTAAAAGTATATTTTTCTCTCTGCACTCACAATCGTGCAAAAGGAATAATTCTGTTAACAATGCTTAGCTGGATCTTTTCCTTCTAGATAAAACGATCACAGCCACTCATCTAGCAATAGCTAGGATCATCACACATGGCACTCATGGCCTTACATATTTAGATCTTACACTTGGCAATTTCTAAGCACAAGTGAATACACAATTAAAAACAGGATTATTCTCAAATACTAATCAGCTCATGGCTTATAGTTCAACAGTTAAGAGTTGTTTTATAACCATTTCATTTTTGTTTTTATTTCTTTTGGAAACTAAAAACTTGTTTGGTAAGTACTAATTTCAAAAAATTAGGAGTTTTCAAACAAGTTAAGTTTTTAGGTTTCAAAAATGGTAATCAAATAGGTCCAAGTTTTCACTTTATTTTTCGGTTTCAAAAATAATTATCAAATAGGTCCTAGTTTTCACTTTATTCACAACATGGTGGTAAGATATGTCACCAAACTTTACAATGAAACCTTATGGCTACAACCACTCATCCAATAGATAGAATTAATATCATGAGACCAACATGAGTACTATAAGGTTACCACTTACGATAATCAAAGTCTCACATAATTGATGAAGAAAAATTAGTAAGGGATGGATAAAAAGATGTTAGAAATGAGGGATTAGAAATGCACCATATAAGTATTACACAAGCATGCATGTAAGAGAGATTTGTAAATGATTCATTCCATCTATGGATTTGAAAATCCCTTTGTAATGCTCATATGGTGCATTTCTAATCTTCGTCGGTTACAAACTTAACCTCAATCCCCCAGGACTTGAAAACCCCTCACCAAAACACATCCTAATTCACAATATCAATGTACCCATCTACAATTTGATAACTGTATAGGTACATTGCATCTCAAATAGATGTGCATATTCCAAGAACCACCGAATTGCATATATGTAATGCCCATTCATATTTTCCGAAAGACAAATCAATTACAATTCATGACTTGACCAAGTTGGATTGTAGGATCGCTTACTAGATTATGCAGGGGTATTTTCCGTTTTGTACATTTCTATTGGCCTCTGTTCTACACCGGTAAGGGTTCGCCACAAATTAAACAATTATAACCGTCATTGCATGTACTCAAATAAGACAGGAATTTGCAGATCTACCGTCCCGCTCAATTGTTTAATTGACTTTAAATGTTGTAATAGATTTTGAATTTTAGTGCTAAAGTGATCACAGCTAGTTTATAATTGGTATGCAACTGAGAATTATCGTTTACATCAATGGAATTTGCTTGCATGATAAGCAGAGTGCAAATGTCCAACGGTAAAAACTTCTGCCGACATAATACATATTGTTCAGTGATTCAAAATTCCACTACTCCTTGATGTAATCAAAACCAATTCAAACGTATGTAAACTTAAGGTTCCCCCCAGAAAGGGGGAGAGCACCAACAAAAGTTAGGAGCAAGGTTGACACCAAAAATATACCTTTTGGAGGGCTTGTAGTACTAGTACTGGTTTGCGGTGGTGGAGCTAGCAGGGGAGCATACATGTAAGAGTCAGACTTCAGATAGTCCCCAACATTGTTGAGCAACCTCTTGCTGTTTCCTTCGATGGGTTGCCTTGCTTCCAATCCTGAGGACATAAATACCACTGATTCAGTCAAATCTTCACAAACCCACTAACAGAAGTACTCTACCTACACTACAAACGCCATTAAAAGAAATTACAAATAAATAAATAAAAAGTAGAAAAATATAGACCAGAAGAAGAAGAAGAAGAAGAAGAAGTCGGTGTCTTTATGAGGGAGCGAAAGGAGTGAGGTGGATGGGAGATTAGAGGCGCAAACATGTAAGTGTCAGAAGTGAGATAGTGTATCACTTTGTTGATCATTTTCTTCCTCTTATTACGCTTAATGGTTCTTTTCTTCTGGACTCCTAACCCTACCAACACTTTGCTCTGCGTCATTCTTTTCTCTGGTTTTTGTTGTTTCTTCGTTGGCTTTGGGAACAAAAACGTATTGAAAATTCTTTGGTTCTTGGGATGAACTGAAGAGGAGATCGAAATGAATTCTGTGGCGGTAGGGATCGTTAGCAGATGTCAGCCAAAGAGAGCGTTTGCGTGTCGCATCGGGCCAATGTTGGAAATATACTACGACATGTGGCACGGCTGAGAAAGCACCTTAAATGTGTGTCAATCCAATATCAGTCACGCTATCTTAAGGTTCTCAATTTGAAGGCATATGAGGTTGAAATTCATATTAGTTATAAGATTTTATTAATTTTGATATATTTTGATCCGAAATATCCATTAGGATTCTGAATCGAGCTATGCTAGCCAACACTTGAAAGGTGATGAAGCTATAAATTATAGTGATATGGAAAATGTGAATAAATTTAAACCTAAAAGTGCCTAAATACAAGAGTGCATGGTAAGCGGGAATAAACCTATTTCACACGTGACGACTGAGCATAAGTACAATACAGTAAAGTGGGTAAGAATTATATCCTCAGAGGTAGCCACCTATAGTGAGATTCGCCAAGAATCCTTGTCGATACAAACATTTAGCAGCTAAAACCTGGAGGGGTGAAGAATAAGGGTGAGTGGGCCTCAAAATAAAGTTTTAAAAAAAACTTTTCAAAACCGTTATAACCCCTCGTTGTAAAACTCGTATAGTTTCCAGAAAATAATACTACATACGTATGGAAAACCAATGCACAACGCCAGTGAAAACTGAAGTATGCCATGTCATAACGTTTCCGCATTAAAAGGTGTAAGCCAGGTGAAATCAATATAAAGTAATATGCCAGTTGGAGTCATCTAATGCGACCTGTACGACTGGACCTATAACTCATCAATATATGTCAATACACGAGTCGGAACCACCTATTGTGGAATGTACGATAGGGCTGGGTGTAATATGTATGCTCAAGTGCTACAATCATGTGAAGGCTGTGCAAATAATCGCGGGTCACCTACGATTTGGAACCACCTATTGTGGTCTGTACGACAGGGCTGGGTGTAATATGTACGCTCAAGTGCTACGATCAAGTGAAGGCTGCGAATAATCGCGGGTCACCTACGAGTTGGAACCACATATTGTGATTTGTACAATAGGGCTGGCACCAAACTTGGATCCAAGGTGAGCGTGTGGTGCAAGAGGTGAACATCACGTGAAGGACTGTGCCCTAACCTCGAGCGGGAGCACTAACACCGGGGTGCAGCCATGATGAGCTCTAAATGCATCTATGCATAACAATGTGCAATGCAACCAATACCATCATAATATACTCACCTGAAGTTTACCTAGGCCTCCGCAATATCAAATGATATAATTCACGATTTATAATAATGCTATACTTAAAATATCACACATTTTAGACATGGCATGAAGTGCATGAATCAATTCAAAAGCATTTGTGGAAACTATCATTCATATATATATGTATATATACACACACACACACTATAAAAAGGAAAAGACCCACTCACCTGGAGTTCGCACTACAATTCCCTAGCACAAATATCGAGACATCACGAACGATCGTCGCCTAGAACAAATATTCAATCACATCTCAGAATTCTTATCGATAGAACTCATAACTTACATAAAACACATCCCCAAGGACGTTCTAGAATGATTTGTGACCCATTGACCAAAAGTCAACCATCAGTCAAAGGTCGACGGTAGGGTCCATAATCCTACGTAAGTCGTTTCGGAAGATCCGCATCTCGAATTTCCGATAAAGATCCACATTATGCTTCTAGAATAACATACTAAAATCTTACCATGATCCGACGGTCAGATCTCCACCACTCACAAATTCATGTGGCGGTCAATTAGCCGACCAACTATGAAACTACATTAAAACATTAGAATTTCACTAAACGAATGTTAAAAATGGATTCAAAACATCGAATTACCCTAAGTTAGATTCTGAGTCAAAACCCGAAAAGAATCAACAAAAGTCAACAGTCCGTGCAGGGAATATTCCAAAGAATATTCCTCTTCTTCAACCTCTCCAGTAGACGGATTTTGCAGATTTTGCAGATTTTTTGGCAATCTTTAGAACTCCATATCTCACTCGTTTCTCAACCAAATTCAACCTATAATATACCAAAACGAAGTTAGAGAAGTGTAGAACAAGATTATACTTGCTTGAAGTCCAAACGGTGGCCGGAGGTGGCCGGAAAATGGTCTGAAAGATGACAAGAATCGATTTATACCTGTTTTGAGTTCAAAAGATGGCTGAAAATTGTCTTAATCACGCCTAGAAGTCTCGGCCCAAAATCTTGTTCTTCAAACTCATGTTTCGGGTTCGTTTTCAATGAAATAAAATCACAACAGAGTTTATGGTGGTGAGGGCATGTAGATAATGGGTTTTGATGTTCAACAAGCCAAAATTTTGGTGGTAGTGGTGATTTGTTTCACGGGAAGAAAAGGAGAGCTGAGAGGGAGTGAGAGAACTCTCGAGAGAAAGAGAGAATGGGAGAGAAAAGGGAGGAGAGAGAGTTCCATAATTTTTGGGTGCCCACGTGGCAGTCACCTAATAGTTAGACAAAAATATCACAAGTCCAATTAATTATCAATTTACCAAAATATCCTCGACGTTCAAAACCTCATGAAATCTTTGTTATAATTCCGAATCACATTCTGTTTGCGCTCATGCATTCGTAGAAACGAATACTACGACAATACCCTAAGAAAATAGATCTTACATGACACGACAAGGTGGTCAAACAAAGTCAACGCATTTGCCTCGAATGGCATTTTCGTAAATTCACTTATTAAAATTATAAAAACTGTAAAATTGGGAACGGACCGTTACAAATTTAAATTTAAAGACTTAAAATATTCGACATTTAATAAAGCAAAACCAACTTAAAATCTATGAATCATTAGAAAACTCATGTTCTTGTTTTGCTTTATTAAGTTGTCAAATATTTTAAGCTTTTAGATCTGAACTAATATAATTTTATAGTTAGTATGCTTTTGGTCCTCACAAGATAACTTCATTAAAGATAACTTCATGCTACCCTGAAAAATAGGTAAATTTGGTGAAATATCACAAATAATATTATACACTAAATTTGTGCACTAATATTGTGCGCTAAATATTGTGACATTCAAGTCATAATTTGATTAATAGTTATAATAAAAATTTATATGATGTAAAATGTGCATTCCTTCATGCACGAATTTAAAATATGTAATACCACCCAAATATTAAAATAATATTTCGTAGTTAGGAAACTGGCCACTTTTATACATGTTATGCATGGAAGTTATATAAAAAAGAAATTACAAAAAGAAAATAGAAAAGAAAATAGGAGTGGGTGTAGAAATGGGTCGCGGGAATACTAAATTAATTAATACAAAAGAGGACATATTAGTCTTACTATTTGTGGAGCAAAAAATAATTCAGAAAATTTTGGAGCTGACATGTGGATTTTTATTCACAATTGACAAGAAAACCCTTTATTAAATTGGCGAGGCACATATCCATTTCATGCGCAGTTCAACCACTAAGAAGACTTGAGCTACTGATTACAATTCCTCCAACTCCATTGCCTATGGAAAGGAGATAGGGCAAGGGAATTAAGGTTAGTATTAATAACTAATTCTTACCTTTAAGCTTTCCTCATTGAAGACATATTCCTTTATTCAAGAAAACACAATCACATCCAATCAAGCATTCTCCATAGATAATTCTTAGATATTATTTTATTAGAGTAATTCTCACATTACAACTCTCACGTATCGTGAAATTCCAACTTTTACAGCTAAAGTTTTATTCATCCCACTTTCATACCTAAATTTGTAACACTTTCAAACTTCTGTTAGCCTGTCTGTTAGGGGTTCGATTAATTGATGGTGTGGCATGCGACTAGAAGATGACTGTGCAGAAACATGGAACTGTGCGCCCCCCGTGAACGTATAAATAATTAAAATATTTTTTTATTTTTTTTACAAAATTAAAATAAAAAACCTAATTACCCCTTTCTAGAAAATGAACCAGAAATTCAAGGAACAAGAAGAAAGGAAAGGGCAGAGTGGAGTTGATGAGTAAATTGGGAATTGCAGTGGATTGACGTCAGGTGCTTCATCAAGGAGATTGACAACCCTACCTGTTGAATCCAGTCATGGTCCTCCGTGGAATAATGGCGGACAGTGTTACTGCCATCAAGGAAGGTCACGGACTTGAGCTCTTTTACGTCAACGGAAGTGGCTCAAGCATACTAGCATGTTCGAGTTTCCCTCAGGTCTGGGTTTTTTCTTCACTTCTCTACTAGTCACTTTCCTTTACTTTCCCATCACTTTGTCCTTCTCCTCAAATCCTACCCACAACCCCTCCAATTTCCATTATTTCAACTCCTCATCCCTTTTTTCTCCAATCTATTTCCACTATTTCCACTCTTTCCCCTCCAATCAAGCTCCCACCGAGCTATACTTGGATACGTTTCAGTGCCATACAACATACATAAAAGACTCCGATTCCATGATTGTCTTGCTTGATGTGCCAAATTCTCACAACTAATTTATGACAAGATTGTGATTAGACCTGAAGAACAACAAAACCCTGATCCTCTAGTTCGGCTCCCATCCCAAAACCCATAAGACTCCACCTCTTTTGGTGTCTTTGTACATGGCTTTCCCGTCACCGAAAACCATGGCTCTGACCCATGACCGCTACCATATGTCAGTGCCTTCATTTCCATGGTCCTCCTAAAGGAAAACTTTTGAATACGCTAAGTTTATAGAGTAACATATATGCATGTGTTTAACAAAGAAAAGGCCAAGGCATGCTTGTATGCACTCACAAAACCTAGACCAAGAATTTCAAAGTGTAGTAGTTTGGTGAACCAATGACTTAACTCACATTACAAAAAGAGTTGAGACTTCCTTAACCTTTGAAGTTCCCCTTTGCCAATGCAAATGTTAATCACTCAAAGTGAATGGCATCATCCTCTCTTTGATTGAATTCTATTACTTTGGAGGATTAGGTTGCATCTAGTCCAAATAGATTGCCTACATAGCTTGTGCAAAGCACAAGTATCAAACCTTTGTAGTTCCTCATGAATGAAGAATAAGATGAGTAACTGGGAGAAGAAGAATGCTAGCCACTCATCCCACTTTGCTTGCCTCCTAGAG